TTAAAAGCTGTTCATACTCTGGGTGGTCTACACTGATGTTGGCTGTCAGATCCTGCAGGAAATGTTTATACCTGTGAGAAGACAGAAAAGAAATAAGGTCACAATATTACCTGACAATAGAAACGGTCACGTAGTTTCCCCCATTCTCAGAGTTATAGCCACTGTTGAACAGGATACTCTTGGCCCTGTAATTGTGGACTGGTTACATTCAAACAGCAGCAGTGTCAAAAAAGCCTAACGAGCCAAAGAAATGTGCGAACTGTCCCGACTAACTCAGATGGAAAGATCGAGTTTTACTTTGAAGTATTTTTGCCTGAGATGACGACAGACAGATACAGCAGTACCCTGATGAGATGGAGAGCTGCACTGGTTTGATCGTATCCTTCTCATAGTGAACAAATGAAATACTGACTATAAATCCTGACTTTTACTCCAGGTGCAGATTAGAAATGATGTTTGAATTAAAGCCCCCAGAAACAACTAAATGGCATTTTCTGTATGTGTGAATAAAACCTGGAACAATAAGTCGATGCAGTTGCACAGTTTACACTGCAACTTTAATTTTATTAAAGACACACGTGAACAAAAGAAACCTATAGAGAATTAGAGCGCTTAATAAATAAACGTTACTTATTTTGGTTGCAGTAATAAATGTCGGTGCGTGCAAGCTACAGTCACAGATAACATGTTCAGTATTTTTCTATGTTGTCATAAATATAAGCAATGCAATTTTTTAAATAATGTGATATGATTTTGAGGCTATAAAAGCCACCCCTGGTTTCTCCTCGCACACAGGAGCACATACGAGTCGTGCTGCCGGGTTGATGCCCTTCTACAGCCCAGTCTAGCTCTCCTCTTGTTAATGGCCTCTCTCCTGGAGACTGTCCTGGAGACGTTCTTATTCAATTTATATCCTCTTGAGATCCAGCCTATTCATTATGTCCTCTGTAGTGGACAAAAAAAAGGTAAACTGAAAGAAACTTTTTATCCTCAGTTCTCAGGAGGTTAAAGCACCAAATCATAACAACAGTTGCCTCAAGGCACTTTACATTAAAGGGTAAAAACCCTACAATGTGGAGAAAAGAGAGAAATGATTGAATTATTTTGTGTTTTATACAAAACAGTATTTATGCTTTGTTGCAGGTTGTTAAAGCTGCTCACTTTTTAGGCAGTAAATCATCATCGAGACCGGCGGGCTGTTAGACATGCCTGGTCTCATTGTGTGCGCTACAGAACTAATGTATGTGATCACTAACAGGATGACATGACACTTTCTGAATCACCTAAACATTTTAACAGTTTTATAAAGAATGGTATGATGTGGCACGACGCTAATCCGGAATAATTCCAAGATGCTTATTTGTATATATTTATGGTGATATCTAGCTCACTTTAGAGAACATGTGAGTGCAGGTCAGATTTTTGCCGTCAGCTGTATTTTGTTTACCCCCAGATAATACTGAAAGGTGAATACAGTCAACTTTCCACTGTAGGTGCCTGACCATAGGAGACCCCAATGCAATTCCAGTCCACCACTTAAGAGTGTTGTCTTTGTTTCAAAAAGCTAAACTGACACAGGACCACACCGACAAAAATTATAATTATTCAACAACAAATTGTGTGTGTACCAACTTGGCAATAAAGGTGATTCAGATTCTGACTCATAGGTCAAGGATGCCTCTAAAAACAAACGAGTAATAATAAGCCACATGCTTGGGGGTTTTCCCCCGATTGGCTACAGATTAAATTATTCAGAATCAAAGGAAAATCACCAGCAATATAAAGTAGTATAACTATCTCTTAAACATTTTTAATTTGGGTTTTATGTCTATATATAAAAAAAAATGAATTTTTTTAAGTTATTTAAACTTGACTTAATGTAAAATAGCAAAAGCAAAATTTAAAAAAAAAACGTTCAAATTCAGTTTAAATATGTTCAGACAAATTCATAGAGATTCTATCAAGTTTAAGCCTCTGCCTAAGACAACAGTTGTGAAGAGAAATCCATGCTCCTTTTTACTAGGACGATGTGACCTTGAAGTGCATTGACAGCTGACATTGATTTCCACTGTGCTCGTCTCTGCCTTTGCAGTCTTCCCTTTTGTTTTTTTTTTAGTCTGGGCTTGTTATAGAGACAAAGTGGTGCCAGTGAATGAGGCAAGTTGTAATGCTAGCACCCTGCAAATCATTGCTTCTGGTCCATTTGGTGGAATGAGTTTAATAAGGGATGTTACAGAGCACCAACGATGCAGTGTAATAGTGCAAGTACTATTTGAAAAACACAGCACTGTGAGAACTATAGCACCATACCTCATTTCTTAGTATTTTGCTTGAAAAACTGGGTTCAGGAATTTACTGAAACATGAAAACAAACATGGAAATCCAGTGTAGAGGGCTTCAACTCTATGGGAAGGCTTTCCACAAGGTACAGGGATGTGTTCATGGGAATATTCGAACATCCTTCTGGAAGAGCATTTGTGAGGTCAGACACTGGTGTTGGACAAGACGGCCTGGCTCACAGTCTGTGCTCTAATTCACCCCAGAGGTCTTCTAAATGGGTTGAGGTTAGGACTCTGTGCAGCCCACACCTTGCTTTGTACACTGTTATGCAGTCATGTTGGATCAGGAAGGGGCCATCCCCCAAACTCTTCTTGGTATGCTGAAGCGTTAAGAGTTCCTTTCAATGGAAATAAGGGGCCAACTAAACACCATAATCCCCCTTCCCCTAAACGTTACACTTGGCGCAGTGCAGTTAGAAAAGTACTATTTTCCTTACAACCGCCAAACCCAGACTCGTCTATTAGACAATCCAGAGAACAAATCTCCACTTCTCTAGAGTCCAGTAGCGCCATGCTTTACACCGCTGCATCTAATGCTTTCTATTGTGCTGGGTAATCTCAGGCAGCAGATCTCTACACACCGTTTTTGAGGTAATCTGAACGCCACATTAAGTCTGGAGGTTTGTAGCTATCGACTCTGCAGAAAGTTGGGAACCTCTGTGCACCAAGTACCTCAGCATGACCTCATGTCGACGAAGGTAGGAGGGAAAGAGAACTCAGGCCGAACCCCTTCTACCCCAGTGACCCTGTCACCAAGGATTTGTTTAACTGCCTCAGTGACCTAACCCCCTGAAGACGAATTGTCCCCCTCGTCCGCAGACTCTGCCTCCTCCATAGAACACATGCTAGTGGGATTAAGGAGGTCCTCGAACTACTCCTTCCACCACCCGATAATGTTCTCAGTTGAAGTCAGCAGCGCTCCACCTGCACTATACAAAAAAAGCGCTGCTTTGCCCTCCTGAGTTGCCCGAGTTTTTGCCCAAGTTCCACTTTGCCTGTCGGTACCTATCAGCTGCGACCGAAGTCCCACGGGTTAATCAAGCCCGATAGGACTTCTTCTTCAGCCTGGTGGCTCCCTTCAACTCTGGTGTTCACCATCTGGCTCGGGGGTTACCTCCGAACCACATGGTGTCCATATTATGTCCGTTATTGACATAATGTAACTTAACACTTAATTAACTAAAGTAACTTAGTAGGAGCCTGCACGATGTTTCCATATAATTAGAATTATTTCTGCCTGAGATGCTATACCTTGCTTTTTCTGTATCCTGCTTTTCCACCATGTAACTACGTCAGTAATTTCCATCCACCATTTGCTTTTCCTATCTTACAGTGCGCTCCAACGATAGAGTCATTTACTTTCATAGGGGTTTCACATGACCAGCTGCTAGATTCTGGGTGTGTCTCGTATGCACAAAGGAACATAAATGCACAGTGTTGCTCTAACAATGAATACGACACGCTGATATTCCGTAAGAATTTATCCTGGCATCAGTGTGGATGATATGATATGGCACAACTATAGTTCAGGTACTGGGCTTGTCAGAGTGAGGGCTGTATTGCAAGCCACACAGGTGACAGATTATTTGATGTCAGAAATGCATCTTTAAAAATGTTTAAAATTTTATCAATTGAAAAATATTAAATTATTTTGTATGCATGTCACTTACAATAATTGTTCTTTGTCCTCTGATTACTACAACTTGAAAGAATATTTTTAAAAGACTTAAAATGATATATTTTGGTAGCATGGGGTTAGTGTCATCAGTGGTGACTTAGATGTCAGTAGAATAATATCAAAGTAAGAAAAAAATGGATATACACCACTAATTTGGTTTGTTAGAGTAAAAGAAACTGATTTTGTTAGCCTGGTTAGGTTCACATGTGGCCATTTCTCTTTATTAGTACACTGATGGCTCACACTTGTTGCCATTTCATTTTGTCTCCACTGCTCAGATCTTTGTGGAAACATAGTTAATAATAATTCAGAGGACAGTTCGAACAGGTTTCATAATATTCACACTTAAAGTTCTTCACTCTTTGAATAAATCACTGTTAGTTACCTTTTAAAGGAACGATGAGACAAAGTCGATTATAGGTCGCTTATAGTTCTAATTTACACAATGCACATGCTCTAGACTTCTATATTTACCAGCGCTTCTTCTCTTTTAAGCTATTAAAGTGTAGTAATCACCAATAAGTCCGTGTTATGTCCACTCATCCAGAAAGGCGCCTGCTGACACCTCGTCTCTTAATTACAAATTCAAACCCTTAATGCATGCATGCAAAATAATTAGAAATTTAATTTGTCTTCTATATTTACTGATGTGCAAATGCCCAAATGACCCGGTATGTCTGCCAAACAGAGTGAGAAAAAAGTGTGTATTATCATCAGCAAAGCCATTTGCAACTCCTGCTGCAAGAGCAGAAAGCATATCTTCTTTACCACTTCATGTTTTGTACAGCTCCATTCTTCATTAGAATATCAGAAATATGAAAATGGTCAGGATTATGTTGTTGTCTCATTATATTTTCTTTGGTTTGCTGCTAATGAACAGGACAAGATGGCTAAATGAGAGTGTTCGGTTTACATTATTTGAAATGTACCTAATAATGCTCATTAGTGTTTCCTTTGTGTTATACTGTTTGTTTAATTAGATTTTCATTTCCACTTCCTGCTAACAGTGACCATTGCTAATAATGGCTGTAATGTATTTGTTATTACAAGAAAAGACAAGAAGACAGGACTTTTTGTCTATTTGGGGAGGAGCGTCGAAAGTGATTTAATTTGTTGCCTGTTTTTTTTTTAATTTGAAGTGGATTGTGTTTCTATTCTTTTGCTCTTCCTCTAACAACAGATCCTTCAGTGATTCATCACAGATCCATTTCCTTCTTTATTCAGATTCTATAAATTCATTTTGCAGCAAGATGAAACCACTTAACCAGGTTAGTCTTTGACCAAACTTTCATCTGCACTTAATGGCCTTCTCTCCAGCAGATGGAGTTTATTATTCGACAAACTGGAAATACCTAAGGTGGTATCACATAGGTTAAAACTTAAGTCTAGTCATATAAGGTGACTTTTGATTAGTCAGCTGTCTGGCTGCAAGGCTCCACTAGAGCCCCAGGAGAACTTCATTGACACACAACTGACACCATTAAATGTGTGGATGAGGATTTTGCTTTAAAACATAAAGACAAGCCTGACAGGAGCCACTCGCTGAGCTTGGGAGTCACCGCACCGAGTGCTCCGATTACCACGGGGACCACTGTTACCTTCACCCTCCTCATCTTCTCCAGCTCTTCTCTGAGCCCTTGGTATTTCTCCAGCTTCTCGTGTTCCTTCTTCCTGATGTTGCTGTCATTGGGAACCGCTACATCGATCACTACGGCCGTCTTCTTCTGCTTCTCTACCACCACTATGTCCGGTTGGTTAGCCACCACCATTTTGTCCGTCTGTATCTGGAAGTCCCACAGGATCTTAGCTCGGTCATTCTCCACCACCCTTGGGGGCATCTCCCACTTTGACCTCAGGACTTCCAGGCCATGCACAGCACAGATGTTCCTGTACACTATGCCGGCCACTTGGTTATGTTGTTCCATGTATGCCCTGCCTGCTAGCGTCTTGCACCCTGCTGTTGTAAACAAGATGCAAGATGGTGCCTGTGTGTTTGGCACGCCGTCAACCGCTCTTTTTTATCCGTCTGATTTTATTGTTTTTAGGTAACGTTGTGCAACATGTCAGTTCAATACTGTCGTATGATCGCCAGACCTTATTGAAAATCGGCTCATCCACCAAAGTTTCAGTTTGGTTTGGTAAAGCCAGGGTTTTCTGCCTCCCTACCTGGAAGCAGTACCATTGCGCTGGCATCCCCTACCACTGCCACCAGATATGAAGAAGCGACGCAGGAGACGGGGTACTCGTGGAGGTCGCCTTGTTAAGCTGAGAATCCAGATTTCTTACCTTCCTCACAATCTTCGCTCCGTTCATCAATCTTTTCCACGACTCTTGGTACCATCGCGTGCTCTGGATCCTGTGGATTCCTGGTTGGTTCCCGTTGTCGGCTCTATCGGGAGAAGCCCTGTGAAATCCTTCCCTCTTTGGCATCTGCGTTGGAGGCGAATGGACCAATCAGACCTTAGACCGGTGGATCTGGTTGTCACTGCCGCGGAGGTCTCCGAACCAGCTCCCCTCAGGTTGGCTTTAATAAATGCCAGATCGGTGGCGAATAAGACCTTCATCCTGAAGGATTTCTGTTCTTCCCATGCTTTGTATCTCCTCTGTTTGACTGAAACCTGGAGTTCACCCGGTGAGTTAAGCGCCTTTTCTGAACTGCTGCCCGCTGGCTGTGCTCATTTTAGCGCTCTGAGAGCTTCTGGTCGTGGCGGGGGGTTAGCTGTTTTTAAAGCACACTTTGAGTTTAAGCAACTATCCTCATGGACACGCCACAGCAGCTTTGAATTGTGTTTGTGTGAACTGGGCCACTCGCCTTCGTTGCTGTGTGCAATAGTTTATCGGCCTCCTAAATAAGACAAGGAGTTTGTATCTGAGTTTTTCGCTTTTTTATCGGAGTTTCTCGCTGACTGTGCATCCCGGTATGACCAGGTCCTGCTGCTCAGTGATTTTAATATATACGTCTGTTGCCCAGGAAAGCCACTGGCTAAGGACTTCATGGACCTGGTGAACTCTTTTCATCTTGTTCAGTCTGTTAAAGGTGCCACTCAAGAACATGGTCACACATTGGACTTGGTGTTATCATATGGGTTATCTGTCTGTAACTTACATGTGGAGGATGCTGTATTCTGTGACCATATGCCCATTGTATTTGACGTTGTTCCTCTTAGTCCTGTTGTTAAACGGCTGCACCTATGCGATGCTATCGAGCCTTCGGCTCAGATACTCCCAAGCGTTTTTCAACACTATTTGAACAACTTGTGTCCAGTCCCTCTGAGTCATCCTCCGTAGATGGATTACTCTCTCATCTGGACTCTGTTTGTAAATCTGCCCTTGATGTTGTTGCACCTCTAAGACTCAGGCAGTGTAAACCCAAGGCCAGTCCTTGGCTAACCGATTTTACTTGAGCCATTAGAAGAGACTGTAGGACTCTCCTCAGCTCTTACTGGGACAGTGGCGCGGCTGCCCCTCTGTTGGTCTTCCATGGTCTCTTGTGTTCTGGGGGCCTCTGGATGTCTGGAGTTTTGATCTCCTCCATACCCGCTTCACACCCTGGAGGACGGGGCTGTGGCCCCCCCACACTCCCTAGCAGATCATTACATGGAGAAACCTTTGGAATGCAAGCATGCTGATCCACACAGGTATGCACACATGGGTATTCACAGACGCGGACTAAAGCTTTCTTGGCTGCTGCCTCAAAGCACACTGTGCGCTGTCTATCTTGCGTGCTGCACAATATCGTTTATTACTTAGTAAATACTGATATCTATGACTAGCTAGTTTATTGTGATGGTGCTTTGTTTTCTCTATTATTATGTTGCTCTTTGTTGTTTGCTGTCTCCTCTGTTTGTTTTTGTTTGTTTGTTTGTTTGTTTTTTCTCCATACAGGTGACCCAGGAGTTTTTTTTTTTCTCTCTCTTCCCCCCCCTTCTCACCGTCTCTTCTCCCCTTTGGTTTTCTTTCTTTCTCTCCCCCTCTCTCTCTCATTCATTCCCCCTGTCCTATTTATTTAAAAAAAAAAAAAAAAAAAAATGACAAAGGATGAACTGAAGCTCTGCCATCACGTAATGTCGCATACTGCTGTTTCTGATGTCATTTAGATAAAAAAAAAAAAAAAAAAAAAAAAAAAAAAAAGAAGAGACTGTAGGAGATGTGAAAGGCGATGGAAAAAGGACTGACTGTACGTCTCTCTGGAAACTCTTAAGACGAGCTGGAAAGCTTATCAGAGGGCAGCAAAGACTGCCAAAATCTCCTATTTTTCTCAACTTATTGCTGTTAATTCACATAACCCTCGTGTTCTGTATAATACCATAAATTTTGTACTGAATGCAGAGGATCATGTTCTTTTGCAGTCTTCTGAGGTTATGTGTAATAAGTTTCTTAATTCCTTTGTGGTTGCCAGTCTGAGACCCTCCACTTTATCTTCTGTTGACCCGGCTGTGCATGTTCCCTGTTTAAATTTGCTTATTGCTTTCCAACCAATTGTTCTACCTGAACTCGAGAAGCTTGTGTTAACTGCTAACCCATGTGGTTCTCCGAATGATGTCGCTCGTCCCAGTTTTCTAAAAAAGGTGTTTCCTACTGTTGGACCACATATTCTGAACCTAATTAATACCAGCCTCTTGTCAGGTCAAGTACCAAGCGAGTTTAAGCATGCAGTTATTCATCCTTACTTAAGAAGCCAGGCTCAGATATTTCAGTTCAGTCAAACTGTAGACCCATCTCTAAACTTCCTTTTCTGAGTAAGATCTTGGAAAAGGTTGTTCACACTCAGCTGATGGATTATCTAAACAACTCTCAAATGTTTGAAGTTTTTCAGTCTGGCTTTAGGCCGTTTCATAGCACAGAGACAGCTCTCATAAAGGTTATGAACGATATTCTGGTAACGACGAACTGTGGTAAACATGTAGTGCTTATACTACTAGATATGACTGCTGCATTCGACACAGTGGATCACGACCTGCTGATCTCTCGATTACAGCTTTGTGTGGGCATTTCTGGCTTGGCACTCCTGTGGATAAAATCATATCTGTCAAACAGGAGCTTCTGTGTTAAGTTGGGCTCGTCATCGTCCTCTGTGGCCCCTCTGCCGTGGGGTGTCCCACAGGGATCTATTCTTGGGCCATTACTGTTTTCATCTCCTGCCACCGGGTGCGATCTTTCATAAACACAAAGTCTCATTTCATCTATATGCTGATGATTGCCAGCTTTATTTTCCTTTCAGTCGTTCTGATAGCTCCCCAATTAGACTCCTGCTTGATTGCCTTAGTGATGTTAAGTCATGGATGGCTCAAAACGTTTTAAATTTTAATGAACGTAAAACGGAAGCAATTCTGTTTGGGCCGAATCGTTCCTCTCTGATATCCCTGATGTTGACCTTGCTGCTCTGACCCTTCACCTGAAGAGCTCGATTACCAATCTTGGGTTAAAAATCGACTCTGCACTTACTCTTGATGGCCACGTGAATGCGGTGGTGAAATCATCATTCTATCATCTCAGGCGTCTGTCGAAGGTTAAACCTTTTCTTTCAAGGCGTGACTTGGAGACTGGTATCCACGCTTTTATCACCTCACGCTTGGATTATTGCAACTCCCTTTTAATAGGGGTTGGACTGGGCACTCTGACACGCCTGCAACTAGTCCAGAATGCTGCGGCACGGTTTTTATCTGGTAGAAGGAAATTTGAGCACATTACTCTGGTTCTGGCCTCCCTGCACTGGCTTCCAATTGAATTTAGGATTCATTTTAAAGTTCTTTTATTGGTTTTTAAATCCTTAAATGGTCTGGCACCTGCATATTTGTCTGATTTGCTGAAGCCCTATGTCCCCACACTTTTAAAACCTTATTAAGATCATATATAATATAATAATATATAATCTCACTGATCAATCCGCTGCAGGGGGAGTTGGAGCAAGTCCTCCAGCTTCTGGTTGTTGAATTCTGGGCGGGATTCCTGCAGTTTTTTGAACCGTCTGAAGGCCTTGTTTTTCTTAAGCTGCATCTGAAAATGGACACAAGACACTGGGAGATTATTCAGAAACATTTACAAGACGTAGCTTCTGAATTTATAAAAAGTGTACTGGGACCAGATTTCATGATTGTGATGTGCAGAGCAGTAGTAACTACAGAGGAATAACATTGATGAGCAATAAAATGAAGATATAGGAAAGGGTTGCTGAAGGTATGTTAAGAAGAGAAATGACTAGGGATGGGTATCGTTTAGGTTTTATCCGATACCGGTGCCAAACCGGTACTTTTGAAACGGTGCCGGTGCTCAAACCGGTGCTTAAAGAATGGAGAACACAAAATTGGTCCAAAAACCTCTCATGTTCAGCTGTTTTTTGTAAAAAGATAACAATGTTAGCCTTTTCTGCAGCTATGGGGCATATATGGTATCACTCTTGGCTGGAAGCAGTGCTTAAACAATGGAAAAAACACAAACTTTGTCCAAAAACCTCTCATGTTTAGCTGTTTTCCACTTTTTCTTTGGTCATTTTAGCCTTTTTGGCCAGGGTGAAGGGAGTATCTGCCATCAAACAAGAAGACAGCCGCATGTAGCTATGATGATGTTTGCTAGTTCACCTTACATGCATTAATGTAATAACGTGGTTAGCCTACTCAACGTAAATTACACACCAACAACATGAAGCTACTCACACAGAGAAGAACGGCTGCTGCTGCATCATCCTCATCATTTCTGCTACACTGGCAGGGCTAGGGGCCAGGACTCTCCTCTTCGGGTTTTTGGGGGATGTTGCTAACTCTGGGTCCGATAACAGGCACCACACCAACAGTAGATGTGTGAGGTGTGAGGTCTCGCAGCAAGCTATCAAATACGGCGCATTTCTTGGCTTTAACAAAATGCTATATGTCGCCAGGTGTTTCATCGGATTCGAGGAGTTACCTCCTTTGACAGTATCACAGTATCACCTTAAAGCACTTGTTGCTGCTGAGTTTGCATCTTTTGCTGTGAAGTACAGCCAGACTTTTGACCGCTTCACCTTGGTCATTTTTAATCTGTAGCTCTGCTCTAAAAGAACGTACGTACCTGGCCCCGCCCACTATCCTCGGAAACGTAAAATGATTGGCTAGAATCTAAAGTGTATCACAGCTCGGGAAAAAAAAGCACCGAAATAAAGCACCGAAATGTGCGCTGCTTTTCGGTCTGGTTACTACCGTTTATATACCAGTACCCATCCCTAGAAATGACAATCAGCGAGTAATAGTATGCTTTCATGCTGAGAAAGAGTACTACACATGTGAGGTTTGCTTTCAGAGCATTGATGTGCAGTATAGAAAAGGTCAGAAGGCGTTCACTGAGTCTGAGTGCCAGAGAAGTATGAGGGTGGTGGAGGACGTGTATGAAGTCACCAGGAGAGTATCAAGGTGTCCAGTAGGAGTGAGAAGGTCGAGGCAGGAGTGGTTAGAGGTTAGAGGTCAGCTCTGAGCCCATTCTTACTTGCAGTGGTCATGTGATTAAACACATTTTACGGAAAGCTAGGTTCATTTTCACTAGCCACACCCAGGCCTGATTACTGCCAGACCTCTTAAATCAAGAACTCACTCAGATGGAACCTGTCTGACAATGCAAAGTGGGCTAAAACATATCAAAAAGCAATCACGCCACAATCTAAAGACACTCAGGAACAGATGAAAAACAAAATCATTAATACAATCCTAATCAAAAGTTTAAGACCAGTTGATGAAAAATGACATGGTTGGAGCTTAACAAGGTTCCAAGTTGAGCTTCAACATGCAACAAGAAGAAATAGGAGTGAGACAAAACATTTTTTTGAGCAATTTATTGAAAATAACACTTAAAATGAAACAGGCTGTTTTACAGCTGATCAAAAGTTTAGGACCACTTGCCTTTGAAAGGCCAAATCTGTGCAAAAATGTGGATTCATTGTCATTTTCTGTCATTTCACTGTCATGATGCTCTGTTGGCAAAAGAAAACAAACCTTCCCTTGTTGAACGTGGTCGGGTTGTTGAACTGTATAAGGATCTCTCACAGCACGCCATCGCTGTAAGACGGTCATTTGATATTTCCTAAATGATCCGGAGGCCCAAAAAAATGTCACCAGCACTGAGCCGGAGGATCCAACTGGCTGTCCGTCGAGACACTGGACGATGCTTGACCCAAATTAAGGCCGTTACTGGTGCCGACTGCAGCCCCATAACCATCAGACACCATCTGAGGCTGAAAGGCTTCAAGAACAAAAAAAACGTCTCGTCTCCTTGAACGCCACAGAACTGACCGTTTGGACTTTGCTACAGAGCACCAAACATGGGACACTGAAAGGTGGAAGAAAGTTTCATTCTCTGAGGAGAACAAAAGTAACCTCGATGGTCCTGATGGTTTCCAACATTGCTGGCATGACAAGCAGATCCCACCTGAGGTGTTTTCCACCCCACAGTGGAAGGGGCGCCATAATGGTCTAGGGTACTTTTTCCTTCAGTGGAACAGTTGTCTTTTCTTTATGGTAGACTTGGATATTTATCCAAGAATGTTGTTCACGATTGGCTGGTGTGAAGGGTTTTCTCATCACCATGATTCTGAGATCATCCACTACTGTTGCCTGTGGACGTCCAGGTCGTTTTGCATTGCTGAGGTCACCAATGCCTTCTTTTTCCTCAGGATGGACTAAAGATTTTGCCACTCCTAAGACTGCAGCAATTTCTCTGATGTTTTGTTCCTGTTTTTGCAGCTTACGGATGGCTTGTTTCACCTGCATGGAGAGCTCCTTTGACTGCATATTGTCTGTTCACAGCAAAATCTTCCAAATGCAATCATCACACCTCAAATCAACTCCAGGCCCTTTAGCTACTTAATTATCAATATCAAAGGAATTGCCCACATCTGCCCATGAAATAACCTTTGACTCAATTGTCCAATTACTTTTGTAACTAGATGTCACATGTCAAGAAGCTGAAACTCTTAAACCCTTCGTCCAATTGAATCTTCAGCCAACCCTCACATGAAAGCTGAGAGTCTGCACATTATGTCCATTGTATAACTATAATTGGAATATTTTTCAGTAAACAGGTAAAAACAACAACAAAAACTTATGTCAGTGTCCAAATATATATGGATCTAACTGTGTGTATGGTTAGAAGGCTATCACTGACAAAAAGACTAAAGGCCGAGTTGAAGGATTAAAAATGAAGATAGTTGATTATGGAGCAGACCAGAGAGAAAACTCATGGATGTAATGAAGGAGCATATGCAAAGGTTTGGTATGATGCAAATGTTCGGTTAAGATGGAGACAGATTATCCACTTTGGCTACTGCTAAAGAGAGCGGCCAAATGAAGACGCAGCAGCATGTTTCTTTACATCTATCAACATGTAGAAAATTGTTAGATTCTGCAAAAACTTGCATTCTTGAAGTTCACAGTAAAACTACATAATAAATTTGATCTGATAAAATTGCTGTGCTTTGCTATTCAATGTAACAAGAAATCAGTAAATAGATGAAAACAGAAAAACTGAGATCAGTGACAAAAAAAGATCGACTAACAGTCTGAACCAAGTTCAAATATAATGTTCTTACCTGAAGCACTTTCTGGGCTTTATAAATGTTATCCACATATGTGTAGTAATGGTGCATATGGGTGGAGAACTGGTCAAGGCCTTTGCCAAGGTATCCATTCTCCAAATGGATAAGTAGAGTCCTGAGAGGAGAAACACACACACACAAGTTTAAACATGATCTATTGCACGTTGTTTTTCCATGTGTTGCATGCTTTTGTTGCCAATGTTTGAAAAGCCAGGTTATTAAAAAAAAAAAAACTTTCCCTAGTTCTCTTTGTCCCTTTTTGCTTTGAAATTAATTAAATCAATTAATCAGCTAACATGATCCATAACATTTATGTATAATAACAAATGGTATCAATTTTAGCAAACATTAAATCCTGCATTAGTACAAAGCAAAATGTGTATTAATATTTGCTTTTCTGTCTTTTTCTTTGGTTTTGTAAACCAGTCTGTTAAATCAAAGACCCCATACATATATTTAGAACATGCTACGGTAGTCACTTTCACTGGATCATTGTCGCTTATTTTACGGGCAGTGCAAGTAAGCCGTGTGTGTGGCATGTTACTCCTGAGTCACAACATCCTTAACAAATCCACAGGACATGGTATCAAGAACTATTTTAATATACGTGGCACATTTTTTTGTGCATCACAGGCCTTTGAGACGTTCGTGTTAAAGTTTACTCTCCTAGCAAACATTTAGCCTCAAGTTGAGTTATTGTGCATTATTGTCTGAGACGGCACTGCTTCTTTGCATCAGTGCCACGCTCCCTGAGAAGGAGCTCATGTGAGGTTAGATCGCATCTGAAGCATCATTTTCAACAAAGGCATACACATTTAGAGAAAGCGAGGAGGCTGAGCAGAGTTCAGAGGATTGCTTCCCTGTTAATGAGAGATTTAGCAGTCAAGGTTCAGTAGTGTTTCTTCCCCCATGGGTGACGTATTTACTGGGACCCAGACGACAGATGTACCTTCAGAGCACCCAGGGCTACTTTGTAGTAAGAACACGCCTGCCGAACTTAAGCAATTGGTTGGGGGTGTTGACACTTGTGAAGGAGCTTGTTATTTGAACTTGGAGGAAGTACCACATATTCACGCACACACATTCTCTAATGATGTTCCCAGAGACTGCTGCTCATACAAGCTGTGAGAAGGAGCACTTTACTGTTGAAGTTGATTTAAATAGATTTTAATGAAGTTGCCGACAAAGGTAGGCTCTGTTCATAATCGGGAGGTGCAGGAGAAGCCGAGAGGGTTCTAACGAGAGCAAAGGGCAGGAAAAAATGTATTTCCATTTCTTTCCCTTTCTGACAGAGACTATTATGATAAATATGAAATTATGGATTACATTTTTTTTTTAAATTTCCACAGCAATTAAATTGTCCGACCATCAGCACCAAGGTGGAGATGACATTAGCATTCCATGCGTGTCATCCGCATTAATTCCAAGCAGTTGCGGCATCGTGGATGATACGACTGAACCCAAACAATTCAGGCCACGTCACCATTACTTGGAGAAGGCTCAACAGATGAACGGCAACTTCTCAAAACACAGGATGAAACATGAGAAACTATAAATGGAATAAACAGTTCGCTAACACTAAAGCATTAAACCAGCATTTTGTTGCTCTCAAAAAACAACACAATGTGATGTCAGCCGTTTTTACCCACACAGTGTCTGAGCTCCATCCTACACTCCAGTTCTTTAATGACAACCTCACCTCTGCTTTGTGCTTGGTCCACACAGCATTCTGGACCAGTGCTGCACACTAACTTCCTTCCCCAACCGCCCCATCACTAGGGCTGCCACAAACGATTATTTTGATAGTCGACTAGTCACCGATTATTTTGGCGATTAGTCGACTAATCAGATCATCATCCATTGGACGTAAAACGTACAGCTTATTGCACCAGCAGCATCTGCTCTTATATAACTATCATTAGCTTACAGCTTTAAGTGTTTAAGGTCTGTGCTAACTAAAAATAAAGACAAGATGATAGTTTATTCAATTTTAATGAAATTTGCAGATTGTTTCGGTGAAGTTTAATAAACTCCTTGCTATCTAAACTATAACAGCATCTCACACTTCTGATAATCAGCTGTCTGCTTGACGTTTATTCAGCTGTGTAAAAACTATAACTTTAATCTCAGCCAAACTGATTTACTCAGGAACAAATAAAACACTGAAAAAAAAAAAAAAAAAAGGCAAAACAATAACATTTTTAAGTTATCTAAGTGACTTATATATCACGTTTAACCTGAGGAGCGAAAGACGGCGGTGGGTTTGAAAACGATTAGCCGGGAGTCCGGTGTTCTCACAGCTCTAGTGACCTTGCCCCCGGCTAACTATCGAGCTAGTGGGTAACAGACGTCTCCGAAAACGTCGGAGCGCTTTTGAAAATATGCGGTGTCTTGATAAACTGAGCAGATATTTGAGGTTTACACAGCTACATTCTCGCCTGAAAATATGTTAAACGTTTATTTTGTGACCCAGAAAGAATAATAAGAGTAACATTAAAACTAACTAGCTGCCGCCATTGTTGGAAACTGAGCTGGGCCGCGCTATGAATTCTGGGACACAGCTTCTTCTTCTTCGGGGTTTAACGGCAGCTGGCATCCTTGTACATGCAGTGCTGCCATCTTCTGTTTCAGTCCGTTATTACACTCTTAAATCCTGCTACTTATTTCTGCGTCTTTTGGATCTTACAAAGCTTCAAACGACGCGTCGACTATTAAATCAGTCGTCGACGATTTTGATAGTCGACGTAATCGTGACTAGTCGACTAATCGTGGCAGCCCTACCCATCACCTTCATTTAAGTTGAATGAAATCTTTTATCCAAATGTCATATAAACTTCTCAGGTATTACCACCTTTATAGATATTTGCCTACTCTCCACTGATAATTTTAAATATTTTATTATGGATTCCTGGGAGGAAATGACAACGTGAAGATGGGACATCACCAAACAAATGTGGGCATTGCCAAGCAGCAGCTTTCTTCCTTTCGTTATGCTTTAACATTTATTTCAGCTGTTTTCAGTTGCTGTTTCTGAGTATTTTGCCATTAAATAAAATGAATCATCTATTGGCCCGACAAGTTTACTGACTTGTTTATTTTTAAAAACTCCAGACTGGCATCACCAGTACCAGCAGTAACAGCTCTACACAGTGAGGGAAATCATTATTTGATCCACTGTTGAATTTGTAAGTCTGCTCACTTCTATGGTCATTTCAATTTAATGGAAAGAGACATAAAATCAATGCAAATGTCAACATTTTACTTAATCTACAAAGACATACAAAATAATTATTGCACAGCAGTTTGTTTATAACTGTCTAATTACATTTGGACCATTTAAAAAGGCATTACAGGGATTACATATTATAGAGACGTCAGTCCTGAGCGATTCCTCTAACCTGAATGAGTACAAATCAAATCAAAATGTATTTATAGAGCACATATTAAAACAACAGTGTTGACCATAGTGCTTCACAGTCAGTAAAAGCATGAGACAATTAAAACAAACAATAAAACAGGACAACAAACAATAGGTAACAACACAACAAGCTAGAACAGCCAACTAGTTAGAATCAAAGGCCAAAGTAAAAAAGATAAGTTTTAAGACGTGATTTAAACGACTGGATCAGCTCGGCAGTACGAAAATGAACAGGGAGGTTATTCCAGAGTCTGGGTGCCACGGATGCAAAGGCCCGGTCACCGCTCGACTTCATTCGAGACCTAGGTTGTGCTAGGAGCCTGTGATTGGACGATCTAAGTGCTCTGTTGGGATTGTATAAGTGGAGGAGTTCAGAAAGACAGCTGGGCGCCAAATTATTCAGAATTTTAAAAGTGAACAAAAGAATTTTAAAATCTTTGCGATATTTGACAGGGAGCCAATGTAGTTTGGCTAAAGTTGAAGTTATGCGTTCATAGATTCTCGTACCTGTTAAAAGACGCGCAGCTGCATTTTGAATTAACTGAAGAATGGCAGAAGACAGTAGTCCAGTCTGGATGTGATGAATGCGTGGACAAGCTTTTCAAGGTCCTTTAAAGGAAGGAACGGCTTTGCTTTGGATATCTGACGCAACTGGTAAAAGCTGTTTTTTTACCACTGTGGAGACGTGTTTCTGAAGTTTAAAAGAGCCATCCAGGAACACTCACAGGTTCCTTACAGTGAGCGAGAGATGGCTAGTGAGAGGGCCTAGGGCATCAGCTAACCGAGTGTGACTACCAAAGACTATGATTTCGGTCTTATTCTCGTTCAGTGTAAGAAAATTATGTGATAACCAAATTTTAACTTCATGCAAACAGTTGAACAGAGGTTGCAAAGAAGCAGACACATCTGATTTCAGAGGTGAATAAATCTGGATATCATCACATACAGTGGGGCAAAAAAGTATTTAGTCAGCCACCGATTGTGCAAGTTCCCCCACTTAAAATGATGACAGAGGTCAGTAATTTGCACCAGAGGTACACTTCAACTGTGAGAGACAGAATGTGAAAAAAAAATCCATGAATCCACATGGTAGGATTTGTAAAGAATTTATTCGTAAATTAGGGTGGAAAATAAGTATTTGGTCACCTCAAACAAGGAAAATCTCTGGCTCTCACAGACCTGTAACGTCTTCTGTAAGAAGCTTTTCTGTCCCCCACTCGTTACCTGTATGAATGGCACCTGTTTGAACTCATCATCTGTATAAAAGACACCTGTCCACAGCCTCAAACAGTCAGACTCCAAACTCCGCCATGGCCAAGACCAAAGAGCTTTCGAAGGACACCAGGAAAAGTATTGTAGACCTGCACCAGACTGGGAAGAGTGAATCTACAATAGGCAAGCAGCTTGGTGTGAAAAAATCAACTGTGGGAGCAATCATCAGAAAATGGAAGACATACAAGACCACTGATAATCTCCCACGATCTGGGGCTCCACGCAAGATCTCATCCCGTGGGGTCAAAATGATCATGAGAACGGTGAGCAAAGATCCCAGAAGCACACGGGGGGACCTGGTGAATGACCTGCAGAGAGCTGGGACCAAAGTAACAAAGGTCACCATCAGTAACACACTACAACGGCAGGGAATCAAATCCCGCAGTGCCAGACGTGTTCCGCTGCTGAAGCCAGTGCATGTCCAG